AAAAAAAGAGTCACTGATGATGAAGAAATAAACTAAATAAACTAATAAAACAAATCTCTCTGTAAATAAATTCAGGGCCTGGGGGCGAGTGAGTCTTCAGGACATGTCTATCACCTGGAACACGGTCTTTTATGGGGATCCTTGTAACAAAAGGGGCCCAGCAGGGGCCATAGGTGACAGGAAGTAAAATGAAAACAGTGCATTATGTGACGAGTGCTTTCTCTCCCGTTCAGGCATCAGGTGTTACAGTAGATGATGAGGTCATCAAGGTGTTCAACGACATGAAGGTGAGAAAGTCTTCGACCCAGGACGAGGTGAAGAAGAGGAAGAAGGCGGTGCTGTTCTGCCTGAGCGAGGACAGGAAGAAGATCATCGTGGAGGAGGGAAAGCAGATCCTGGTCGGGGACATCGGGGAGACTGTGGATGACCCCTACGGCACGTTCGTCAAGCTCCTCCCACTCAACGACTGTAGATACGGCCTGTATGACGCCACCTATGAAACCAAGGAGTCCAAGAAGGAGGACCTGGTCTTCATCTTCTGGTACGGTTCTGATGTGTCTGTGAACCTCCTTCAGGTGGACCTCAGATCAGTGACTGGTCGGTCTAGATAAGTCCAAGTGTCTCAGCTTTGGACATGTAAAATATGCTGCAACTTTTGTTTCTGRATATATCTAAACAAATGTTTTAATAATAATTACTTAATAACTTTATTTATAAAGTGCTTTCAGACAAAGTGCTGAACAGTTACAAAAAGATAAAGTCAACATAAAAAGTTGTAAGAACAAGTAAAACATTGAAAGAGGATTAAATACAAATGTAAAATTTAAGGTACAAAGTGTACAGGTGGGTCTTGGGCCAGCCTGATGTCTTGAGGAGATCATTCCACGATAAGGGGCCTGAAAGGAAGAAGCACAACCTCTGATGGTACCCAGTTTATCAGTCTTTATAAGTACGTCTAATGATTGTGGTTTATCAGGAACTTCAGCTTTATGGTTTTGATCGTCAGTTTTTAGGATGTCCTCTCAGCTGTTTTCAGAAGCAGATATTCTTATAGTGATACAGAAAAGCTGACAGGATTAGAAACATTAAACATAAATCTACGAGTCATCGCCACAAACAGATCAAATTACTGCAGCAGGTTCCTGCTACGGGAAGTCTGCTGGGACAAACAGAGACAACACAGGTGAATAAAATCACTTTTTGACATTTGAGAGTTCATTCAGGATCRTCTTCCACATTTGCAGTGCGTCTAAAAATAAATTATCCCCCCCTGAGGAGGGGGGGTCCGCTGTGAATTTTCAGCAGAACATCTGTGTTTGACTCAGTGGAACGAGATATTCTAATATCTAATAACTACACCTGGTCAGATGGGAAAAAAAGTTRAAGTCTGAGAACTCCATGTTGGAGCAGCTGAATTTTTAATTTTTATTTATTTTTGGACAAGATTTGAGATTAAAAAAATTTAATTTAGATTTTTTTACTAAAACTCCGTCCTCTGGTTCTGAATGGTTCTGGTCCGTGGTCCTCAGTTTGTTTAATTCAACATGTTTTACATGATAAAAACAAAGTGACATAATAGAGGTCATGTTTCAGTTCAGGTTTAAATAGAACAGATGGGTTTTAAACTTGAGTTTCTGCGTTTTCTGGGAGTTTGTTGAGATGATGGTTCTTCCTCCTGAAGTTGGTGTTTTAATTTAACTTTAGTGAAGTGGGTAAAAGTCTTGTTTGTTTATTTATTTAAATCCTCACCTTCATGTRACGTTTCTCCTCAGGGCGCCTGAGAACGCTCCTCTGAAGAGTAAGATGATCTACGCCAGCTCTAAAGATGCCATCAAAAAGAAGTTTACAGGTGAGGAGCGTCGCTGTTGGACCACCAGGCTGGCTCCAGACCTGCCCCTGGGTTCTGAGTCCAGTTCTACAGACAGAACTCTGAGTCACAGTGGTGTTGGTTCGACTGCTGTAAAGAGATTTCAGGTGTGGGGGTTGGGTTTAGGGCCAAGGTGTGAATTAAGTTTAGGTTAGTTTTAGGGTCAGGTAGGTACCTGTGAGG